TAGGAGTGAAAATAATAGTGCTGCATCGTGTCTTTAAAGCCGGTATGGTTGTCCTGGATTTATGTTTTCTGTTGCTATAGCTGAGGACACCTCATTTGGATAATTAAATGTCACGGTGAAATAGGAGAATGAGGGAAGGAGAGGACTCGTGTCCTGTCCCTGCCGCATGGATGTGCCACCCCCTCTGACGGCAGCGGGCAGCCCCTCTGTGTCCAGGCCAGTGCCAGCATCTGTCCCACCCATCCCAGCCTCGTGTTTAGCTTTATCTGAAAGGAAAAAAAAGAGTTGCTTTTTGGTTTTGATGCCCATACTACGAGACGTGTGTGAACAACCTGGTTGTAAATAGGGTAAGTCTGGGTAAGGTAGTGAGTGTGGGTGAGTTATAATGACTGTGCTGAGCAGCTGCCTTCTCCTTGTGCTGTGTAAATACAGGGATAGGATACAAGGTGTGGGAAGTGCTGCTGTGCTAGCAATGGGGTATTTCTCATCAGCTGCTTAAATAATGAGTGACTCTTCCTAGAAATTTTTTGATGATGATAATAATAACATTACTATATCAGGTAGACTGAGGAGGAGGCTGAAAACACTGAGACTTTATAAATTTTTCTGATCACATTTCAGTGCTTTTTGGGGACAGTCAGGGATTAATGTGCATGTTAGATAATAATCTTCTACTGCACAGAATAGTAGTTTTACCAAGCACAGGAACTTGTGCACCACAAAGTGCACCCTCTTCCCCCTGTTCACATGCTCTAAAGGCCATCTTTGTTAAATACTGATTTGTCATTCCCCGAAGGGTATGAGAGCTGTAACTGATAATCTGCAGAGGCTGGTGGCTGTCCTTGCAGCAGAGGTCGTAGAGGAGCCTGTCCTGTAAAGGAGTGGCTCTGACATGGGTGGGAGCTCTGTGTTTCTGAGCAGACCCTGCAAGGCCATGCCCTGGTGCCAGTCAGAGCAGAGCTCTGCTTTTCTGCTGCCCTGTGTCCCCCAGGGCCATGCTACATTTAAAATTGGCAGTGGTTTGCTGCTCAGAAAGCCAGAGGTGTTCAGTGAGTGTAAGCAGAGATATTCCTGCTTGTAGCATTGCACTGGGATGATGGAGAAGTACCTGCAGGGCTTTGTGTGCCCTAAACAGAGGAGCTGCCTGTTCTCAGGTACTCCTGTGCAGGATCAGATTAATATGTTACCTGATTTGGTTTTTTTTTCTACGAGGGCAGAGCAAGTTTGTGTAGCTCTGGATGTTCAAGAAACAGGTCAGCATTTCTCCTGTCCCATTTGTGATCTCTCTGTGGCACGGCTGGCAGCTTGTGAGGGCTCCTTGAAAACTTCTCGTGGCCACTGGAGCCTTGAATGGGCAGGTTCACTCATTCTCTGCTGTCAGTATTGACATTTTCTACTCTCTGGGTTGTATATCCTGCCTTTCTCAACTTCCTGCTGCTGACCTCAAAGCCACTGGCTCAATGAGTAGAAAATAGCACCGTCATTTCTGGGAATAGGGGAAGATAGGAAGGACCAGAGTCACTGAGGCAGGCTGTGGGTATTGCCAGGCCTGGCATCCTGCCTGCCTTCCCACAGGCAGCCTGAGAGCAGCCCAGCGTGGGAGAGGCTGCCTTCCTCCTGCTGAAATCCTGCCCTCACAGCCCTGCTGAGGAACCCTCACTCTGTGTCCTGGGAGCTCTTCCCAGCTTGTGTGGAATGGCCATCACAGCCTGCCCTGGGAGGGAGCAGTGCTGTGCTCCAGTGCCTGCCCACAGCTGGCTGGCATTGCAGAAGCTCCTGTTGGATTCCTCATGCTGAACAAAAACTGCTGTTTCTGTCACTTAAACATCAGTGAGAGAGATTTCCACGCTAGTATTATAATGTGTTCTTGAGGTATTATTTGGTCTTACCAGCTACTGAGGGCAGTCCCTTGATGTGTGGAAGTTTTTCAGCCCCTGACAAGGTAAGGCAAAGCTTTCCTGGTTTGGTGACCACTGGGAGGATCTGGGAGTGGCCCCGTGACAAGCAGACATTAAAGAGGATTTTTGCATAGACCCTACAGGCAAAATAAAGCATCCTGTTAGAGCCACATGAAAGATATGGAAAAGCAGAAAAAGTGAGAAAACACAGAGGGGGGGGTGGAGAAATCTCAGTTTCATTCCATTTTCCAGCCTAGCATGGAAATCTCCTTCTGAGTAATGAGAACTCAGCTGTAGAAAATGTCTGTATTTCTGTCTGCACACAGCAACATAGCTGTGTGTGCTTCTGCTTGAGGTGCTGGAAAATCATCCTGCTCTGGGTGGTGTCTTCCACTTAATCCACCAGTGTTACAGAGCTGGGGGAGTTTTCCTGAAAGACTGCTGCTGTTCCATGGCTGGAATGCTGCCAGAACTGAATAACATACAAATGCATTCTCTGAATAACATACAATTCTGAATAACATACAAATGTATTCTCTGAATAACATACAATTCTGAATAACATACAAATGTATTACCTGAATAACATACAAATGTATTACCTGAATAACATACAAATGTATTATCTGTGCTTACTAATTTTCTTGCCAGTCAAACTGCTTCATGTTCTCACTTAGACCAACAAAGCTGCTTGCTTTAATTGTTATTTGCAGGTCTAGTTTTACCTGACAATCAGATGTTTTCATTGAGTTTTTTGTTGTTTTGGTATTTGTTGCACCTTAAAACAGTCAGTACACCATTTAACAGCAAATTATAGTCATGTATTTCCAGAATTATCTAAGGCAACACATTATACAAAGACTTGAACAAGAGCAGTGCATGCCAAAGCATTCAAAACCTGAAATCAAGATCTTGGTGCAAAACCTTGAGATCAAGATCTTGGTGCTTCTCTCTGAAATTATTTCAGTAAAGGACTTTGCTTTTTGGTGTGTTTTGCCCCAGGCACTGCTGTACCTGGGCAGAGTCTCACCTGTGTGAGCAACAGCAACCATGGCTGACACCACCTGAGGGGCTGTGAAATGATGCTTTCCATCTTTGTAATTGTTAGTTCCTGGTGTTAAATTATATTTCATCTAAAGGTTTTCTAAAGCCTTTCATCAGATGTCTGAAAAATTTGTACAATTTCCGCCCCATAAAGTTGCGGTTCATGTAGTAACAGTAGCAGGGCATTGGGTTTGGGTTTTTTCCACTAATGCTTTATTGTAGGAATTATGGCAGCTTCATACTTTCCTTCTGCCATGCAGAACATGTAGGTAGACAGTGGGCAGGCAGCAAGTGATAGGTAGCATTTCTGAAGAGGTTTGTGTGTTGGTAACAATTGATGAGCCATTGAAGTTTGTCTGAAGAAGGAAAATCCTGGTGTGCAGTCCTGTGTGGGTGTGAGGGTGCATTGGTGAGAGCTCTGTGGAGATCTGTGACTGTGAAGCTCCTCAGTTTTTGCCTCTGAGGCAAGAACTGTCAGCATGACAGCCCTTTAGCACTGATCAAATCCTGGTTTCTGAAACCAAAATCACCTGGAATGGTGCACATCCATTATGGTTTTGCCAAGAAGGCAGAGCAGACAGTGGGACTGGGGAGCTGGGATGGTTTGTAGAGACACCAGCCTCAGCCTCAAACATCATCTGCACTTTCCATTTTCACACATGGGCAGCCTTCAGATCTCTGGAGGGCTTGGAGGACACCAGGAGGAGGGAACACCTGGCTCAGGAAGGTTGATGCTTGTTCATCCAAGCCACTGCTCACTGCACAGGGCTGCCTGATCTGGTGGCTCAGCCACAGGAGCAGCAGCAGTTGTTTTGTGCAGGAGATGCCTTAGAGGCACTCAGCTAAACATGAGGAAATGCTTCTCTTCCCAAGGACTGTGAGTGTCCTGGAGTCCAGGACACCTCTTAAGGAAATGGGCTTGAACAGAGGAGTGGGTTTAGCTTTTCCTTTTACAGAACAAAGCTGGGCTTTTTGCTTTTGCCTAGACCTGCCTTTTGGAAATGAAAGCAGTTTCAAACAGCTTTTGTCAGAGAAGGTGGGGGCAGCTCTTGTTCCCCCTCATCTATTAGTCTGGGCTGATGGAGCTACCTGGTGGAGTGGGAGGGCAAACCAGGGAGGAAGCTTTTCCTGGAAGCAAACTGAGCAAGAATGGAATCTCTTTCAATTTATCCTTAACATACCTTTCATACAATCAGTAAATGGAGCTGACAAATAAGCTGGTAAGAGGGAAACACTGAGCCAGTGCCATTTAAAAGCCACTTGTTCTCTTTTTCATTTGGATACTGTTCATATGAAATGTAATTTAAATGCTAGGCTGGTTGCCAGGAGCTGGATTGTTGATGTTAAATGTACTTTCCATTAGAGCTCTGTATTGGAAAACTGCTTCCTAGTGCTGCAGGCATTGGAAGGGGTGGGTTACATCAGGGTGCCCCAGTTGTCCTTCTCAGGGTCTGGCCTCTCACCCTGCCCTCCACCTGCATCTCTGCAAAGACCAGCTGAGTCAATACCTGCCACAGCCAGAACGTGATTCCTCCTGACCACAGCAGCACGAGGTGCAGTGCTTGTTCTGCTGTCCTGAAAACAAGCAGCTTCTCACCTTTCAATTCCACAAATCTGCCAATTGCTTTTGGGTCGTTGTAGGGGGTTTTCTTCTGTTTTCCAGACTGCTAATTTTCTTTGGTTTGTTTGTTTAATTTACTAATCCTCCATTTGTTTTCCTAGGGCTGTTTCTTGCGCTGTTCCCTATGCAAGAGAAGACATTTCACCCTGTTTCAGCGCCCTGGTTAGATTACCCTCTCACCCCTATGCACAGTTCTTTATTTAATGGATTTGCCTGCACTGGAGATTGCATTTGAAGGATCTGACTTGCAGGCAGCTGTCCGTAGGGACTGGTATTTCTTTCAGGTGGATTAGTAGCTGTGAACACCTGCTGTGTAAAAATGCAGATGGTTTTATGCGTGCTCTCCTCAGTTTTGCCGGTAACAAGGTGCCAACAGGTAGAAGCAGATTCCTACTGCTCTCCCATCATTTGGTCAATAATTATGGTGACCATAATTAGTCTGACCTCAAGAGATGTTTGGGAGCACCAGACTTTTACGTGGCCTTTGGAGGAGGGAAAAGAGTGGAACTGGGTCATCTTGGCAGGCTCTTTCCTTGTGCTAACAGAAAAGTGTTCTTCCAACATGCTTTCCCTTCTTCTCTTCATTCTTGGTTGTTTTCATGCATCATGTTATTTACCCTCTGACCAAAAGTCCTCCCTGTCCATACCCCCAGGCTGTGCCATAGGGCTGCACTTAGGGAGTGAGGTATCCAACAGCCATCTAAAAGAGGCTTCCTGTTCCTTTGTTCCTAGTTTTAGAGGTGGATGGTGAGACTCCCCAGGGTGAAGCTGAGGCTGTTTGCAGGAGGAGGCTGTGCTGTCCCTGGGTGAGCAGTGGGGTGAGCTGTACGTGCACAGTGCCAGGCTCTGAGGAGCTGTTCCCTCTTGGAAGGATCTCGCAGCTGCAGTGACGTTCAGTGCAACTTGAGCTCTGTTTTTAGCTTGATGGATGGCAGGAGCTGCCCTGGGAGTGGGCTGGGAAAGGGGTGGGAAGCAGGAGACAGCTGTGGCACTGTGCTGAGAAAGTCTGCCTGCTTGCTCCTAGACAAATGGTGACACTAAAAGGCACAGTGATGGCTGGAAAGAATAATCAAGGAGTGTTGCAGGCTCTGTTGAAGCAGTCTTCAGCTCAGGGGAGATGCCTGAAAAAAGAACAAGATAATAAATTCATGAGTGTGCTGGAAGAGGAGGATCAGGAGCAATGAGTGACTAGTTCTGCAGCAGCTGCCTTGGTTTGCTGGCCTTGTACAAGGCAGTAAGTGTGAAGCAATCAGAAGTTTTTTCAAAGCCTAATGGTGAAATTTGTTTCTCTAAGGATTAGTTGCCAAAATAGACAAGCTAAGTATAAATCTGTGTGTAGTGAATGCAAAGCATTATAGTTCTGTGCTTGCCCCTTTTGCTAAGCCTTAGCCAGAGGCAGGTTCCAGCTGCAGAGGGACTGATATTCTCCCATAGGATGGTGGTTCTTGCCTGTTGGTACCTCAGTGTGTACATACACATCTGGGGAATATTTTCTATACAACACCACACTTCAGTGACTTCTGCTTTGCAGACCTTTTGCAGCCTTCTGGCTGGGGTATGGTCAGCAGCTTGTTTAAAATGAAACCCTGCTGTTGGGGTAGGGGAAATAATGTTTACTTAGTGTGGAACAAAGGAGTTTGAATATAACTTAAGGAAACAATGATGTACCAATGAACTTGCCCCTTAGCAAAAGTACTGATGCTGTGGGCAGGAGGAATAGGCCTTTCTCTTCAGATGGATTAGCAATTTCTCTGTTGTTAAGCAGCAATAGACAGGGCAAATGCTTAGTGACAGTCAAGGAAGTGTCTTTGTTTGCAAGGAAATCTCTTTGTGAGGCTGAGCAGGGACCATTGAGCTCTGTAGTGGCTCTTCCTGCTGGACCTCCTGCAGTGCCATGGAAAGCAAAGGGCTTTACTGATGTTGGCTTCTTTCTTCTGAGCTTTGTCTCTGAGAGTGCTGACCAGGAAAGCCACAGATACCAGTTCTGATGCAACCTCACAGGGGCTGGTCCTGGTTTCAGCTCACACAGAATTACTGGTTGGGGTAAGAGCCCACAGCAAAGCTTGGTGATACATTTGAGTAAGAGCCTCAGGTATGTCTCTGAAAAGTATCTATTTCATGATTCAAAGCCCTGTCATGTAAACACATAGCCATGTGAGTAAATAGTGCTGGGAAGTGTGTTAATGTGTGAGGTCATGAGACTGAAGGAAATCTCAGTGTTGTCACACAGCTCAAAAAGGGCACGGAGGGATTTGTGTACGTGTAGCAATGACCGGCACTGAAACTGGGGGACAGGGAAAGATTCTTTCTGAGAACTGAGGTTCCACAGCAGCCTCCTGGGTTTGCTGAATGCCTTGATGGATTCTTCAGGAGATTCCTCACTCACCACAGACAAATCCCCAGTGGCTGCTGAAAATGTCCATGCTGGACACTCTCTTTTATCTCTTGCCTAATCTCAGTTTTGGTACTTTACCCTCAGTTGTGGAATATGCTCTTGGTAATCTCCATCTTTTCCTCTGTTCTGTTGTTCTGCTGTCTCTGCCCAGGCATCTGTACAGCTGTCAGTAGGTTCTGGCCAGTTTTCCCCTCAGAACCTCTCCCATATCAGCAGATGGAATCTCAGTTACTGCCTCCACTCCAAGCCTGCCTTCTCTTCAAGAACTGTTTTGACATGGCTAACACAGAGCTGGTAAACAAAGAACACGAGTAGTTCTTTCTTGTTCCCTCTGCTGCCACTTCCCTGTTTGCTGAAGCCACTGGATTTTTAACTCCTCCTGACCATTTCACAGACATTTCTGCAGAGCTGCTGATATGAAGGTTTTTTTGTTCATCCTATGTCTGTTGGTTTTAACCAGGCTCTTTTCCTACCACACTCTTTCAGAGGTTTCTGAGCTGTACCAGGTGCACCTGAACCCCACTCAGCCCTTTCTGCAGAGCTGCTTTGGTACCTGGGTGGTTCCACTGGCTCCCAAGGGATTCTGGCATGTTCTTGTGCTGGATGCTTGCACAGAGGCCAGGCAGGCTCCCTGCCTGGAGTGAATGGCCAGTCCTGATGGACAAGGGTGGCCCCCAGCAGTGCCAGCACGAATCCCCATGGTAGGGCAGCAGTGGGATGGCTGAGTTCGTTATTTGCTGACTGAATTTGAGTTCACAGCCAGCTGAAGAATGACAACATGTGTTAAACCTTGCTTCAGCACTAAAATACCAGTGATATTGAATGTAGATAAATGAATTGATGCATCTGAAGGGACAGAAGGGAAGGCTGACCTTCCCTGGAAAGGGTGGGCTGAGTTGACCATCCTCTTGGGCAGAAGGACTTTGAAAAACTGAAGCAATCCAGGTGCATCTGCTGGAGCTGGACAGTGCTCATCAAAGCAGGCTAAGCCCAGGGAGTTCTTAAAGTTTATGAACAAAACACTGTCTGTTGTTTGCTGCCTTGTGTTATGTGTATATAAAAACACATGTATTTGTACCTAGGGTGTGAAATTACACCCTTGCACAGAGAAGGGGAACAGGGATGGAGGGGTTGTCCCCTGCTCCCCAAGGAGCAGAAAATGGGCTGGGGCTCTTTGATTTGGACCAGGGCATTCCCATATGCCACCTCCTTGGTTTAGTGCATCCCTGAATTCAGGAGGGTGACCTGATGGGCAGGAGGCAGTTTTCCACAAGGCACAGCAGCTGTACATTGGGGCAGGGAGGCTGAGCAAAGCAGCGCTGGCTGGGCCATGTCTGGGCACCAAATGGTTCCTCTGCAACATGCAGTGGTCTGTGGGTATGCACACACACTCTCTCTGGCCTTGTTCTTCACTGGAAACTTGCTTTTGGATGTTATTTTGGGATAATTTTCTGGGTTAGATGAGCATTAGTGGCCTGGTACGTCCCAGTTCTCTAATTGATTGCACTGAAGTGAGTTGTAGGGCTTGCTGCCTGCTCTCCCTGAAGGAAGAATTTCCTTGCTGGAGACTTGGTGGGGGTGTTGCATTGCAGTGCAGTGGTTAAAGAGCCTTGAGTTAAGTGTATGTTGTGCTTGTCAGTTTTAAAGTGAGCACTTCAGTGGTCTGGCTGGCCTAGCAGTGGGGGGAAAAAAACAACTATAAATAAAATTCCTGTAATCCCTGGCATTTGGTTAAGCAGTTAAAACTCTTGAGAAAGCCATTAAAAGGCATCATCTGCAGGGTATAGCACTGCCTTAGCCTTTGGCTGGGACAACTTCTCTGTGAAGGGGAGGGACAGACACTGATCTCTTCACTGTGACCAG